ATTGTGGATATATGCTGCCACCCCTCCCCCCAAGTGCACCAGTACGACATTTCTTGATAAGAGTATAATTTTGGATATTAAAATAAGATGAATCATTGATTTGCCAGGTTTCAGATAAAGCGATGACATGGAATTTTGGGGATAATGTATTTTCGCATAATAATTTTAGTTGGTCAATATTTTTGTTTAATGATCGAATATTCATGTGTAAAATGGATGGTTTGGTTTGAGTCCCACTGATTGATTTATTACACACAAGCTATAGGTGCAGTCATCACATGGCTCAGGTAGTGAATACAATACAACATAAAGGTCAAATACAGGGGTCAATGAGATGTGAACTCATTTGCATAATGTATATTGTAAAACATTCACACAAAGTAAGTACAATACTTGCTATATTTTAATATATGTTGTAAAATGCAAACCTACCTCATAAAGACAATGCCAGTTTCTATTGATACCATGTAGTACCCTTAACAAAGAGATAACTTCAAGAGATGGATCCAGACTTTGAAATGATGAAGGCAAAACTGGTGTCAAATAATCATCTAAGGCTTTGAAAGGTGATAGTTTAAAAGAATCTGTAGAAAACATAATAAAAGACATTCACAATAAGATCAATGTCTATAATATTGTGTGGCTCTCAACAGACAACTATAAGTTGTATATTACAGTGTGTGTAATTGCACCTGTAATTTGTAGTTGCGAATCAGGAAATGAGCTCACTTTTTGATGTGGCAGTTGTATGTCAACTCAATTTAGAAGTGTGTAAAGCATCGTGTTTGGTACCAACTTTCAACAAAATATGTTAAGGGTTAATAGGACATGAAAATAAAACCAATTTTTAAAACTAGCGCCGAAGGCGCATATTAGTTTTTATGTTTATATAAGAGATTGCATACTTACCTTTGGTTAATGAAATTTTAATTTCATAAACAAATGGGATAATTGCCAATTATCATATAATACTGGTTAAATAAAATCGAAATAACAGTGGATAGCTCCCGTAGGGGGCGTCC